GAAATGAAATTCCCCCTGCATATACATTAAATTATTCGGGACTTCCAGAACATAAAATTAAGGTCAGCAGTGAGTGATCATTCTACTCAGAGGACTACATTTCCTAGGTTTTCTTAGTTTTGCAGTTTACAGTGAGGAACAAACCGCAATGAAAATAGAAAGCACCACTGAGTGAGGTTCTTAGCTTATGGCTAAAACATCCAACAAAAGTGATCAGTGGTAATTAATATGGAAATTGCAGCCGCCTATACGAATTCCTGAAGGTTACAAGTATTACAAAAAGAGTACCTGAGTTGCTTTTTTTTTTTAAACCAAAAATAATTCTATATAATCATTTAATACCAATTGATGTAAGCTAATTTAGGCCAGTTCCAGATTAGAACACTTTAAGCTACAATTATATTTTAAGCGCCATCAAAAACAAAAGAAAACCAAACCAAAAAACAGACAAAGAAACAAGAAAGAAAAAGCCCAGCAAAATTTCAGGAGGGGAAGGAAATTATACATCAGCCAAAAGCCAAAGGCACTGCTTTATTCTTATTCTGAAAAGAACGGTTCAAGGGAAGGGAGCACCAGCTGGATCCAAACTGCAGTCATGCATTGGTCACAGTAGTAATACCTCGCCTGCCTGCCTTTGCTAGTTGTTTGCCTAGATGTGTGGGGTGCTGGTGTCATGCGTGTCACCCATTTTTGTGCTGCATGTGACATGGTCTCCAAGAGGTTACTTACGTTCTGGATCACTTGTTTCCTGCTCACTCTGCTCCTTGCTCTTGTAGAATGGGAATTTTCGTGAAAAGATGAAGTTCTTTTTACGCTTGTCATTGAATGACTGTGAAGGAGAAAAGGCATGGGGCAAAAACAGGGACGTCTAATTGTTGTCACACTCATGCTGACAAAACAACTAGTTTGTAAAAGTGGAGAGAACTGTAGTGACTCAAAATTGGTCCAAACCAAGTCACAAAGAATCACAAATGATTTTCACCAGGCACTGCAGCTTAAAAGGCAAAACGCCTTGCAGACTGGATCCATTTCATTACCGGGCTCAAAACACAATCTTTAGCTCCAGATTTTGGAACTCCCAAGCGTGGGCTCAGTCAGATAAAGGGTTTTGGTTGTGTTCATTGTAACAATTATAACAGGATTTGGATCCAGATCTGGTTGTGGATTCTGATCCCACTCCCTTTAATTTGGGGGTGTTTGAATCTAGGGTTTTGGTTTAGCCTTTTATAGGGCATGTGATTGCCTAAGCGCTGAGCATCTGCCACTCAAACTGAGGTCAGTGGGACTTGCAGGGGTCTCAGGATGCCTCAAGATCAGACAATGAGAACTTAATCGTAGTAAACAGTGCTCATAATTCATTCAGTGGCTAAAAGAAGCCATTGAATGGGGCTCGTGTTTCATTTTCAGTAGATACATGGATTCGACTCTGTGCCAATTAAAATGTATACTTTTTTGGCAGCTGTTTCAGCTTTCAAAATCAGTCTTATTTTTCTCCTTAATTTTGTAATTTATGAGGTATAATTCAATGACTCGTTCAAGCAAGTTAAAGGAAATGACTTTCATTTCAGTATGAGCTTCTACTCATTCATTAGTCTCCTGTGCATAGGCCTCCAGCTTTGTGTCATTTAGATATTGAATTCTACTGTTGTACAATACTTTATAACAAATTCAGAGGCATTGCCTGCCATCATTTGGCAAATGGAATATAAAACGAATAGGCATTTTTTGTTAGAAGAGATTTTATGTTTAAACAGAGCTGCAAGCATTCATAGCGTTACATTAAATGGTAGCAGGATATGGCCAGGAGGCATAAGAAGCCAATTACTTTTCATCACAATTAAGTAAATAATCCAGTGTCACTGGAACTGTCCCTGTGAATACATTGACCAAGATTTGGTCCTAATTATACAATGGAACAAGTTTAGGGTCTGATAATAGAATTTATTTGGTGTTAAATCCTGAAAAGAAGATGTGCCAAAAGAAGGTGTTCTGGAATAGAATACATTTTTGAAGGGTGTGAAGTTTTAACTACTTAAAAATCCTCTTCAAAATAGTTGTTCACTTGTGTCACAAAAGTTTCATGCCACTTTTACAGTTCAAGCATATTTAACTTTAGTAACTGAAAACAAAAGAAAAAAATACACACGAAAGAAAAAATGGGCCATGAATGTCTCCAAGTATGCACACATTCAGTTGGAAATTTATGCGTGTGTCATGCATGGGTAATACAGGGAGCATGCAAATTCAAAACAATGCAAATTTGAAATAGAGCCAGAGACTAAAAATATGGACATGAAGGACTGAAGTTGTTTGTAGGTGAAAACAAGGTCAAGCATGCAAATCACATCACTTAAATGACCTCCAGATTATAATGGAAATTAAAATGTGTTTTCTGCAATCATTTCTTTTATCTTTTCAAAGCAAGGCATGTAACATGTTAACATTTCCTGGATCATGAAAATGTTGCCTGTTATGATTATTCTGACATAATAATACTAAAGGCATCACGCTTTTAAAGGGAAAAATATATACAAAATAAAACCTAAAAAAGCAAAGTGGTCTAAAATGACAAGTATTTCATTACCAAATGCCTTTTCAGATTGGAATTAAAGGGAATGTTATTAAATTGATATATAAATAAGCTGTGGTTCATTTGAGGCATCATAACAATACACCATTATGGTTCGCATTTATAAATTATATTTTCTTTGAAAATAATTTTCTCAACAACCTAGAGCAAAAACTTCAAAACGTACATTTCAACCAGAAGTATATTTGTCTTGAAGGCTTTTCCACCATCTGACATAGCTCATATATTATACCATTATAAGCCTTGCTTCTGTGGCAATTTGAGGATTTTTTTTTTTGTTTGCTATTGTTTTGTTTCAATTCAGGAAAGCAAAAATCCATTTAATTAGTAATCAGAGAGAACAATATATTAATGGCTTTACTATTTATAAGTCATAGTCCTTAGAAAATGCACTCCTAAATAAAGCTGCCTCTTGATCTATTATTTTATTTATCCATGTATACAAAAATTCTCATCCAATAGTCTATAGCTATAGTCATGGAAATCATCACATATGGCACCATAATGTAATAATGTGAACTAGAACTAAAATGATAAACATTCATACAAACTTTATAAAGGCCTAAGCTGGATCTGATCCTACCAACTTGACTCAGATGAACAAGCATTGTTCAGCATTGCGAATGCTCAAGCCACTTAGATAAAAGGTAGGGAGAGATATGATCCTGGTCTCCCACCAAATAAATACAGTAATAAATGAGGTCCAGATCAGGATCCTTGTCGCTCCCCCACAGAATTTAACATCTAGAGGCTCGGTCCTGCAAACACTTAAGTAAGCAGTCCTCACAGGTTACATGAATGGCTGTTGGTCAGATGAGACTGGACATGAAAAAAGAAAGATAGCACCAGATGCAGGGGAGACAGGCTAAAACTTGAAGCTCTTTAAGATATTCTGGACCTGATTCTCATTTCTGCTTGGGTCTCTGTGAGCTGTTAAGGCATCATAGACAGACCACAGAATAAATGAGAGTCAAGTGTTTGCTGTTTCTCATCCTGGTGCCCAACTTGCAAATTCTGTTTCCAAGGGCCAAAACCGGGACTGATATTGCTGGCCTTACTCAGGCAAAATTCCCAAAGTCAATGGAAGAATGCCTTAAAAAGGACTGATGTATAAGACCCAGGATTTCTCCTGAGAAAAGCTTAAGAAGTAACCCTAACATTCTGCTTTCACTCAAGACATTTTGAGATCTGCTTTAGAAAATACAGACACTTATCTCCTTTTGAACAATGGATATTCTTTTTCCTCGGTCTACAGGGGCCACCACTAACCCATTAGAAACTATGGAATGAAAAATGCCAAATTATTTTCCTATCTGGCAGGTTTGTTATCAGACATCTGTGATATCTAAAGCAAATCAGATTTTGAATTCTTATATTGTACCCTTAATGCAATATAGCTGTAGCATATGAACGTAGATGACAAAACACTGCTTTCACAGAGGGAAAGTGAAGTATGCTGCTTTCAGTTTTCGTGATTTAGCAATTAGGCTTAAACCTTGCTCTCTGCCTCCCAGAAAAGATGCGCCTATAAGAAACACACTCTTGACTCTCCCTTCAATAAAAACCCCTTTGGTTTCCATTTGTGTTTAGCTGCTTTGGGTTTAATACCTTCCAGGTTGTGACAGACATTCAAATGATTGTGTCGAGCTAATACTCTGGTTTTTTTTTTTAATCCTAAAGAATTTCCCCCATTTTAATGTAAAATTGCATTTTATGATCAGTGAATCTTTTTCTAAGCGAAGCTGCAATACAAATAATTGGCAAATAAAGTATGAAACACATACATTTTAAGTAATATTTTGACATACCCATGCAAAGGGTAAACAGAAGAACTTTTTTTTTAGTTAGTAGAGGGAAACATCACACTCATCCCATTATTACTCTGGTGGCTGTACTCCAAGACTGATCACTGTGTTTTAGTAAAAAACATCTCCACTTAGCTAATAAATCACTCAGTCTCAAGCCTCTTTCTCATAATCTTTCTCTGTATCTTATTTGCATGATATTATTAGAGCCACAGGGGGTGCGTTTACATGTTCATTAATGAGCCATAATTACAGCACATTAAGTTTAGTACCTGTAATCACAGATACTAACTTTGTGTGTCACAATCAGTGCTACTGTGCATTAGTGCAGGCGCACGCTTTTTAAGTGACACGAATGGACAGTAGACTAATTCTACTAATTCTACTGTGCATTAGTGCATTAGCATGGTTTTTCATGCCATGCTAATGTACAGTAGAATTAATCTACTGTGCCGTTAGCGTCTCATGTAGATACACCCAGGATCATAAGAAAGTAGGGCTGCAAAGGATCTCATAAGGTCACCTAATCCAGGAGGAGGGGGTGGGGGTGTGTGCTTCAATGGTGTTGTTTTACCCCACCTCTTTTGATTTTTGCTCTACCCAAACTTTAAAACTAATGACTAAGAGGTACAGTGGCATTTTTCTACAGGCAGCGCTGAGAGAGTTAATTGACTTCGTGGCTCATTATCATCTCCCGAATTCCTGCTAATCTCTCTCCACTCCACAGATGTTAATGACTCTCCATCCTTTATCATGGTCTTGATGTTTCACTATTCAAACTTTCCTTTGTTCTGAAATTTTGCTCTGATGGCCATTCCTGATAATCTCTCTCTTCTATTTTACAGCCCTTCAGAGTGTTTTTAGCTCTAGCTGAAAACCTTTATTCAGGCATGGTAACATTAACCCAAGTTTAGAAAGGACAGACAGTGAAGTAATGGGGGCACTGTCAAAACACTCAGGAAGCTCTGTTTCTGCTTTTGATGTATCTGAATAGACACATCCATTTCACTATAATGACTACAGGACTAATGAAGCAGTATCTTTCGACTATTTTGACTATTTTTGCCTAGTTTGTTGTGTTTTTTTAACATTATATATAATTTAGCAAATCAGTGCACATTCCAATACTAATAGCTTTGATATTAAACTGAATAATGTAGTGTTAGCCCCCTGGCGTATTAGTAAATCTTCTAGCTTCTCTTTAACTGGTGAAAAATATATGTTGTGTTATATGTAATGATGTGCCATGCCATCTGCACCCGCTTTTAAAAATCCTAGATCTGCCCATGATTGGAGCACATAATACCAGTTTTCCCCACCACGTAATAACTCTACCTTGCCCTTAAAATGGGCCTTTCACATAAGAATTACTGGAAGTGCTTTATGAACACTAAGAGTGTGTCTACACTGGTGAAGGACCCTACCAGCAAGTGC